TTGAAGCATCAGTGCTGATGTATGGAGAAGCTGGGTTTGTTCTGTAATAGTCATGGTTTTAGATGTTTATGTTGCTGAATCTTTGGTTTACACCATGTCCTAACTATGCTACCTGACAAAAGTCTTCTATGTCGTCTATGTGAAAACTAATTTCGAGAGGAGCACGTGATTATGATTGAACATGGCTGGTTCTGCATTAGCATGCATGATCCACCAATCAGGCCATTCCTAACCCACTATAAAGAGCCAGGGTTTTTTCACTACAGTCATCTTCGATTTGAAGAATCCCCCCTTCCACCCCTACCTCTTCACCTTTCCCTCCAGGGCAGCACGGTGGCCCAGTGACTAACACTGTCGCCTCACAGCAAGAACGTCACCGGTTCTAGTCCTTTAACAGGCCGGTGGTGGTTTCAGTGTGTAGTTTGCATGTTCTTCCCGTGCTTGCGTGGGTTTTCCCCGGGTCCTCCGGTTTCCTCCCACATTCCAAAAACATGCACAACAAGTAAATTGATCAATCTAAATTTGCAATTCAGGTAATCTCTAATAATGCAGCATATCTTTTAATAGCATTCAATTTTTAGTCATCAGCTCTTATCAAGGGGGAGTCGTCGAGATCTACCTGAGCTCAAGGCTCCCCTCTCTTCCTCCAAACGGGAGGGAGCCCAGGGCTCAAGAACCTTCGAGCTCAGGGCTCTCTCCCGGGACAGCATGCCAAACTTGCTTATAATCAATCATCAGCTAAGTGTGAACTCTAGAACCAAGTTTGAGGAACAACAAATAATAAGTTGACTTCTAGTTGATCATTTGGTATCAGAAGTGGCTTATATAAAAGGCAATGGCCTGTAGATGACGCTTATTTGAGTAAGATCTGACTCTGCTTAGACTAAAGTCTGATCACTGAACAGAAATAATGTCCAGTATAGAATATAAAGCCCTGCTGCAGTGGAGACAGAATGAATATTGTGTCTGACTCCATCATGAGCTTGGAGGACTGCATCCATACATCTCTGCACTGACTCACATCACTGATTAATAAAGTCATCTGGAATGAAGAAGAAAGCCAGACATGCTCAATAATGTTCATGTCTGGTGACTGGGCTGGCCAATCCTGGAGCAGCTTGACCTTCTTTGCTTTCAGGAGCTTTGATGTGGAGGCTGAAGTATGAGAAAGAGCGCTATCCTGCTGGAGAATTGTCCCTCTCCTGTGGTTTGTAATGTAATGGGCAGCACAAATGTCTTGATACCTCAGGCTGTTGATGTTGATCATCCACTCTGCAGATCTCTCACACACCCACATACTGAATGTAACCCCAAACCATGATTTCTCCTTCACCAAACTTGACCGATTTCTATGAGAATCTTGGCTCCATGCTGGTTCCAGTAGGTCTTCTGCAGTGTTTGTGATGATTGGGATGCAGATCAACAGAAGATTTGTGGGAGAAATCCATCTTCTGACACTTTAAGTCACTTTATTATTTGTTGCTCTTACAACTGGGATCCACAACAAGGTTTTTGTTAGGTAGTGTATGTGTCAATCAGATTATAACTAGGCCCACACGGAATCTGCGCGCGCAGAATTCCGCAGATATCCACAGATTTTTATCTCATTATTAATTCTGTTTATTTACTCGAGTAAATGTGTAAATCTGAATTTATTCTGTTTTTATTCAGTAATTTTTTTCGTTTTTATTTCATATGTTAAGGTTTTAGTTATGATACTCCGCTGGATACTCCCAAAATAATTCCGCAGAAATCCGCAGATTTTTACCAAAATGCTCAGCAGAAAGAGCAAAAAACGTCCGCAGATTCCCGTCTGGCCCTGATTATAACCCTTGTCATTTCATTGGGAGTGCAGTGGCTGATATTTCAGCCTGATCTCATGAGAAAACGTAAGTATTTTACATTTTGCCAGTTTAGTGGCTAATTTGTATGAATTCATACGAGTTCAGTTGTATGAAATTGTACGATTTTAAAAAGGAGGCCTGGCACCTAACCCCACCCCTAAACCCAGCCGTCATTGGGGGATGAGCAAACCGTACTAAATTGTACGAATTAGATTGTACGAATTCATACGAATTAACCACTAAATCAAAAAGTGACGAATTGCCGTGAGATTGTGTTGGATATTTTAATGTTTCTGTCTTGTTGTGTTGGTTTGGTGCAGACGGCCATACTTGTCTTTTTCTTGCAATTTAAAGTGCATTCATTTTGCTCCTTATACCACTCCTCAACTCAAAATCTTTGCCCCTTTTGATATTATATTGGACAAATGAGGTGTTCTTCTTGTTCACAGTAGTGACTGTGAGGAAACGGCATAGCCAGATATGCACTGCCTTTCATCGGTTTGTTTTTTAAATTGTTTTTGATGTGTAATACAGTTGGATCAGCCCTATATCAAGTCCCTTCGCGCATGTGTGTGTAGCACCATCACTGCAGTGCATGTTCAGACTGCTGTAACTGTGGGTTTAGAGGAGATGCAGCTCATCACTAATTCATAAGAGTTAACCATTTGTGATTTACTAGTATTTCAAAGTTCAAAAGCCTTGTTTGTGTGTGGTGAATCTAAATGTAGATGAATACACACACACACACACACACACATGCAGGCTTTTCATGTTATATAAGGTCTTCCCATAGCTGTAATGATGCTTCTACTGTACACGCTGTCCTCTTCCCCTAAACCCAAGCCTCACGGGAGACATTCTGCACTTTTCATCTTCACAATAATTATTTCTGAATTATTTAGGAGCTGTTTTTTTCTAATGGGGACCCAAAAATTGTCCCCACGAGGTCAGAAAATAACTGCTAGTGCAATACTTGATGGGGCATTTGGTGCTCATGATGTGATGAATACCGGAACAGTCACACACACTCACTCATGCGCACATGTATTGTCCTCATTCATTTTCTTTTTGGCTTAGTCCCTTCATTAATCCGGGCTTACCACAGCGGAATGAACCGCTAACTTATCCAGCATATGTTTTATGCAGCTGATGCCCTTCCAGCTGCAACCCATCTCTGGGAAACACCCATACACACTCATACACTACGGACAATTTAGCCTACCTAATTCACCTGTACCGCATGTCTTTGGACTGTGAGGGAAACCAAAGCACCCGGAGGAGCATGGGGAGAACATGCAAACTCCACACAGAAGTGCCAACTAACCCAGCCAAGGCTTGAACCAGCGACCTTCTTGCTGTGAGGCGACAGCACTACCTACTGCGCCACTGCGTCTCCAGTATTGCAGTATTGATATCTGCAGTGGCATGTTGTGAAGTTCTCCTGCAGCGTTCGGTGTGTGCGCTGTCGGCTCTTTAGGGAAGTGCTGCAGATAATGTGACGCTGAGCGCATCATATGACTGTGTCTGTGCTGCTATTACAGCTCACATCGCACACACACTCTCGCATGGGGGAATGCGGAGGGGTTTCCTGGTTCCCCGCAATCACACACACACACACACACACACAGGAACACGCATGCGTATCACTCTCTCAGTGTGTAGGAGGACATTGAGAAACACATTGAGAGCTGCAGCGCTTCATCTGTGACCTCTAGAAGATTTAAACCATCACGATCCTAAAGGATTGTAGTATTGCAGAGCACCTGATGTACACATTGATGTTCATACACACATTTCACTCATTCATATGTGGAAATGTCTGCTTTAATACTAACGTTCTCTGTAGCTGTATGATTATAGCGTAGAGATTTGATTTCTAACCTTGAGATTAGGTTTGAATATTCCCTGCTGCTGATTATATTGTTGTGTTAGGATGATAAAGATGATGATGATGATGATGATGATGATGATGATGAAGAGGGTGGGTGATTATTAGGATGGTGATGAAGATGATGATGATGATGATGAAGAGGGTGGGTGATTATTAGGATGGTGATGAAGAGTGTGTTTTGTGAGTGTGTGTGTTCAGGATGATTAGTTGGTCCTTTAGGGATGCTGCTGCTGCTGCTGCTGATGATGTGTGTTTTGTGTGTGTTCAGGATGATGAGGTGGTCCTCCAGTGATGATGAAGATGATGATGATGATGATTATGTGTGTGTGTGTGTGTGTGTGTGTGTGTGTTCAGGATGATGAGGTGGTCCTCTAGTGATGATGAAGATGATGGTTATGTCTTTTGTGTGTGTGTGTGTGTGTGTGTGTTCAGGATGATGAGGTGGTCCTATGATGATGATGATGAAGAAAATGGTGATGTGTGTTTTGTGTGTGTGTTCAGGATGATGAGGTGGTCCTTCAGTGATGATTATGATGATGATGATGATGATGATTATGTATGTGCGTATGTGTGTGTGTGTGTGTGTGTGTGTGTGTGTGTGTGTGTGTTCAGGATGATCAGGTGGTCCTCCAGTGATGATGAAGATGATGATTATGTGTTTTGTGTGTGTGTGTGTGTGTGTGTGTGTTCAGGATGATGAGGTGGTCCTCCAGTGATAATGAAGGTGATGATGATGATGATGATTATGTGTCTTTTGTGTGTGTGTGTGTGTGTGTGTGTGTGTGTTTTTTGTGTGTGTTCAGGATGATGAGGTGGTCCTCCAGTGATGATGATGATGATGAAGATTGTGATCTGTGTTTTATTTGTGTGTTCAGGATGATGAGGTGGTCCTCCAGTGTTGATGATGAAGATGTGTGTGTGTGTGTGTGTGTGTGTGTGTGTGTGTGTGTGTTCAGGATGATGAGGTGGTCCTCCAGTGATAATGAAGGTGATGATGATGATGATTATGTGTGTTTTGTGTGTGTGTGTGTTTTGTGTGTGTTCAGGATGATGAGGTGGTCCTCCAGTGATGATGATGATGATGAAGATTGTGATCTGTGTTTTATTTGTGTGTTCAGGATGATGAGATGGTCCTCCAGTGATGATGATGATGATGATGAAGATTGTGATCTGTGTTTTATTTGTGTGTTCAGGATGATGAGGTGGTCCTCCAGTGATGATGATGATGATGAAGATTGTGATCTGTGTTTTATTTGTGTGTTCAGGATGATGAGGTGGTCCTCCAGTGCTCGGCGACGCTCCATAAGGAGCAGCAGAAGCTCTGTCTGGCCGCCGAGGGCTTCGGGAACAGACTGTGTTTTCTGGAGTCCACATCAAACTCAAAGGTAGGAGTTTCCAGAGTCACTGCAGCTGAAGGTCACAGTCATTCTTCATCAAGTGAACTTTCTCATATCCCAGCAACTCTCTAACAGCACACAAGTATTTTTACAGCCAGAAGCTTCATTCACATCATTAATCCACCACAGCAAAGCTCACAATGACGCACGAAGAATGTGTAGTACAACATATAGAAATAGATTTAAAAATGTAAATAAGTAGAAAATATGCATGCAATATATCATAAAAGTGGCTAAAAGAGTTTTTCATACAAGTGATCAAATCTGCAGCGAGCAGTTCTTGGATTGGAGTGTTACTTTAATATGAATGCGAACGAGTCTGCCGAGGCTGTCAATCATTTAATCATCGTTCTCATAAAGACTCCTCCTGAGATCAGAGCTGTAATTCAGCACCATTGCTCAGGTCTGAGCTGACTCCTGCTCTCCAGGTATCTAATAACACAGCGCTGTCTGACTCATTCTGTGCTTAGATTGCTGAAAATAATGTCTCTTGCTGTATTTCTAATACTGATCATTAGGTGTAGCAATGCACTCATGTCACAATTCCTTTTAGTACTCAATATTGTTCAACATGTTACTGAGGAAACAGATTAAATGCTAAGTTTTTTTAAGTCATGAACACATCTGCTTACGTCTGACAATGTAATACTGTTTATTAAAATGTTACATTTGAAATGACGTCAGCATCATGCTTGAATGCTGTAGTTTTGTTCATTCACTGACCGCAGAATAGTCATGATTCTGCTACATGTTGCTATCCACAACACATTGTTAGAATGCACTGTAGCATGTTGTATGATGTGAGCAGTGCTTAATTTGTAAATTGCGAGGTTCTGGAACAGATCGGGTTGACGGATCCAGCATGCTACTAGAAGAGGGAAAGTGTTGCGGATGAAAGTGAAGAGTGGGGGGTGGGGGTTGGAAGGTTAAAAGGTGAGGGGGAGCTTACCTGTTAACATTGGGTTGTGACAATAAGGGATAACACCAACACACATGACTACATGTGTTTTTCTGGGGCTGTTTCATTTTAAATAAACAGTTAAACGGTCAGTGATATGTTTTATAATTATGATTTACATTTTAAATACATTTTATTATTAGCATTTGATTGCTTTCCTAACCTTTTATGCTCATTTAGGACAAAATTAGTTGTGCTTAAAAAACAAACAAACACCAAGATCGACATCTATAGATGTTACTATTAATAATTATGTGTTTATGTCTGGTCAAACACGCACCCAAAACCCAGACTTTTGCTCCGCTTCAACATCTGTACAGAATCTGTTTGGGAAACAGCGTCTATTTATCACTATGGAGCACGTCAGCTGACAGTCACGCACTGCTATATTTTTACTTTGAGGATTGCATAGGAGTGGCAAAGACACTTGTAATGAAAAGGAAGGAAATCCCGCCGTTTTTATATTTATTTTAAAGTGTTTTCATGCCTAAACAGAATGAAAGCACAGAACAGACTAACATTTAAGAGCACGGGTTGACCCCTGGTGGTTTGGCGGTATGGGTTGTGCACAGGGAGGATCAGCTCTTTCGTTCTGCTTCAAATTGTGTGTACAGAATCTGTTTGGGAAACAGCGTCTATTTATCACTATGGAGCGCGTCAGCTGACAGTCACGCACTGCTATATGACTGCTTTGAGGATTGCATTGGAGGAGCGATGGCACCTGTAATGAAAAGGAAGGAAATCCCGCCGTTATTAAATTTATTTCAAAGTGTTTTCATGCCTAAATAGAATGAAAGCACAGAACAGACTAACATTTAAGAGCACGGGGTGACCCCTGGTGGTTTGGCGGTGTGGGTTGTCGGCTCTTTGTTTCTTGCCGCCCTTCAGAGCAAGACTAAAAATATGGGAGAAATACGGGAAAATACCTTTATGGGATGAAAGCGGGATAGAACTGAAAAGTACGGGAGAATCCTGGGAAAAATGAGAGAGTGGAGAGGTATGGTTATCACAGATGAAAATGAGGACCGAGTGGGGGTGCGGGTGGTGGGGATTGACTGGTGTGAACGACAGTGAAGAGGTTACAAGAGGTGTTGACGATGAAAGTGAAGAGCATGGGTGGGTTTGGGAGAGGGGGATTTGTCGCAGAAGGTTAAAGGGGGGGGGGGGGGGGGGGCATACCTGTCAACATTGGGATGTGAAAATTAGGGATGCCACATCCTCCCCCACACGAATTACACAACACAAATGACTAAATATGTACTTCTGGGGCTGTTTCATTTTAAATAAACAGTTAAACAGTCAGTGATATGTTTTATAATTATGATTTACATTTTAAATACATTTTATTATTTGCATTTGATTGCTTTCCTAACCTTTTATGCTCATTTAAGACACAATTAATTGAAAAAAAAAACACCAAGATCGACATCTATAGATGTTATCATTAATAATTATGTGTTTATGTCTGGTCAAACACGCAGCCAAAACCCAGACTTTTGCTCCGCTTCAACATCTGTACAGAATCTGTTTGGGAAACAGCGTCTATTTATCACTATGGAGCACGTCAGCTGACAGTCACGCACTGCTATATTTTTACTGCTATATGACTGTGTTGAGGATTGCATAGGAGTGGCAAAGGCACTTGTAATGAATAGGAAGGAAATCCCGCCGTTATTAAATTTATTTCAAAGTGTTTTTATGCCTAAATAGAATGAAAGCACAGAACAGACTAACATTTAAGAGCACGGGGTGACCCCTGGTGGTTTGGCGATATGGGTTGTCGGCTCTTTGATGTTTCTTGCCGCCCTTCAGAGCAAGACTAAAAATATGGGAGAAATACGGGAAAATACCTTTATGGGATGAAAGCGGGACAGAACTGAAAAGTACGTGAGAATCCTGGGAAAAACGAGAGAGTTGAGAGGTATAGGTATCACAGATGAAAGTAAAGACCGAGTGGGGGTGCGGGTGGTGGGGATTGACTGGTGTGAACGACAGTGAAGAGGTTACAAGAGGTGTTGACGATGAAAGTGAAGAGCATGGGAGAGGGGGATTTGTCGCAGAAGGTTAAAGGGGGGAGGGGAAGGGGGGCATACCTGTCAACATTGGGATGTGAAAATTAGGGATGCCACATCCTCCCCCACACGAATTACACAACACAAATGACTAAATATGGAGCTGTTTCATTGTAAATAAACAGTTAAACAGTCAGTAATATGTTTTATAATTATTATTTACATTTTAAATACATTTTATTATTTGCATTTGATTGCTTTCCTAACATTTTATGCTCATTTAAGACAAAATTAGTTGTGTTAAAAAAAAAAAAGACCCTCCAAGATCGACATCTTTAGATGTTATTATTAAACTCAGACTTTCGTTCCGCTTCAACGCGTGTACAGAATCTGTTTGGGAAACAGCGTCTATTTATCCCTATGGAGCGCGTCAGCTGACAGTCACGCACTGCTATATGACTGCTTTTAGGATTGCATTGGAGCGATGGCACCTGTAATGAAAAGGAAGGAAATCCTGCTGTTTTTATATTTATTTCAAAGTGTTTTCATCCCTAAATAAAATAAAAGCACAGAACAGACTCAAGTTTAAGAGCAAGGGGCGACCCCTGGTGGTTTGGCGGTATAGGTTGTGCACAGGGAGGATCGGCTCTTAAATGTTTATTGCCGCCCTTCAGAGCAAGACTAAAAATATAGGAGATATACGGGAAAATATCTTTACAAGATAGAACTGAAAAATACGAGAGAATCCTGAGAAAAATTTGAGAAAAGGTATGGGTATCATGGATAAAAGTAAAGACTGAGTGGGGGTGCGGGGGTGGGGATTGAATGTTGCGAACGAAAGTAAAGAGGTTTTAGGAGTCACGGAAGATAGTTAAGAGCGGTTCGGGGGTGCGTGTGTGGAGGGGGATCGCTAAAATGAGGTGGCGGATCAGATTTCAGAGGTGCGGGATCCGTAATAAGCCCTTAATACCACAAATTAAGCCCTGGACATGTTCTCCCTATGTTTCCCCCATAGTCCAAACACATGCAGTATAGGTGAATTGGGTAAACAAAACTGGCCGTAGTGAATTTGTGTGTTTGAATGAAAGTGTATTGGTGTTTCCCAGTACTGGGTTGCGGCTGGTAAGGCATCCGCTGTTTAAAGCATATGCTGGAATAGTTGGCGGTTCATTCCGCTGTGGCGACCCTTGATAATCAGGGACTAAGCTGAAGGAAAATGTATCAATGATATTCAAATAAACAGGTAAACGATAGTTTTCAGATCTGATTCATTCTAATTCAAACCCCATCTGATTAGTCAAATTAACACACAACCAATGCATAAAATACACACATCTGTGATACATTTATTGCATATACTATCATCAGGATAATGATAATTTTGTGATGTATTGTGCAGGCCTAATATCTAACCCATCTGCAGGTCTGCTCACGTCAGACACAAACATAAAGCATGTCTCCAGAAGGAGAACCGGCTGCAGTTCAGTGATCATTCAGCCCGGTAGAGTTTCTAATTTGAGCGATGTGTGTTTCCAGAATGTTCCTCCAGATCTGTCCATCTGCACGTTCGTTCTGGAGCAGTCTCTGTCAGTGCGAGCGCTGCAGGAGATGCTGGCCAACACCGAGGAGAGAGCAGAGGGGGTGAGTGTCTTTAATCCAGCACTGATATACAGCATCCACCTACACATGCACATCTGATTCAAAAGGGCGGCAGATGGAGGTCCAGAAATGTCTCGCCCCATAAAACTGCACTTTAAGGCTGATGAATTTAGCGCTTCATACTGTTGAATAAAAAATGATTAACTCTCCTGTGAAATTTGTATTATTTATAAACTATTTTAAACGATTTAAAACGTAAACTGTTTAAGTTTTTCCAATACATAAGAGATTTAGTAACTTAATTTCTGTTCTTTTCAATGATGACAGCACCTAATATTTTACTACTTATTTAGCAAGATATGAGTATTTTTTTTTTGATTAGATTAGATTCAACTTTATTGTCATTACACATGTACAAGTACAAGCAACCCGGGCTCATTGTGGAAACATAGCACCGCGGACGTTTCTGCGGACCGCGATTTACGTCCCGGGAGTTACGTATTCGAGCGGTTTTTGTTTTCGCGGATCCGCGAAATCGGGCGCCTCTCGGAAGCGCGCGCCATTCGCTCCTGCGCCCTTCTCGCGCGAAAAGCCGCGGGATCGGCCGACTCGGCCGCCCTCCTCTTCCTCCTCCTCCTCCTCCTTCCCTAAACCCAAAAGACGGTTCGCAAAAGTCGTCCAGAAAAAAAAAAAAAGCAAAAGCCCTCGTCTTCGATTTCGACCACGTTTTCGGATCCCGCCGTGTTCTCGCCCTTATTTTTCGGATTCCGTTTTTTGTCTTACCTGATTTCTGGAACCGCTGTTCCCCGGACTTGATCCCAGTCGTCGTCCACCGCGGCCGGCTCCTCCTCCTTGGCCTCCGCTCTGCTGACGCAACGCTGTGAGCTAAGCGGACAAACTGGTTGCATCGGGAAAGCCCTCCACTCGGAGGCGAGCCGTCGGCCGGCGAGCAAGAAAAGGAGGGGCAGAGCGGCGCCACACCGCTCCGCAGTGTTCGCTCGGAAAAACTAAACGCGGCCTTACATAACTCCGGCCACGTAAATCGCGGTCTCCAGAAACGTCCGCAGGGCTACGTTTCCAGAATGAGCTTGGGTTGAGTACAAGGCAACGAAATGCAGTTTAGGTCTAACCAGCAGTGCAATAGCAGCAAGTGCAAGATACAGGTATCAGTTATAAAGTGCAGTTTTAGCAAAACTATGGTGATATTTACAGATGGATGTACTATCAACATTATATACAGGTTGTATTAGCTATGAACAGAGATTTACAATAAATGAATATATGTACAGGTTGCTATTAATAATCAGAAGTGTGCAGTCAGATAAACATAATTACAAATGTGTGTACATAATTACAGATGTCCATGTGCAGTGGGCATGTACCGTTCAAATAAGTGAATCAGTGCAATGAATATGAGCAAATTTTAAATGTGCAAATGTTAAATAGTGCAGTGATTGTGAGGAGAATAAGGGCCTACTCACACTATGCCATCCGTACTGTGCTCAGGCCCGTTTCCCGGATCGTTTTGAGAAGTGTGAGTGCGCTGAATCGGGCTCAAGCACGGTTCACTTTTCCGGCCCTGGTCCGGTTGGAGGAGGTGGGCCTGATCGCGGTTCACTTGGGCTTGCGCCAAAGCCCGAAACTGAAAGCGAGACGTGACTTTTAAGGGGCTGTTTCATATGGATTTATTAATCATTCTTACTGTTCAGTGAACGCAAACTGCCGTCGTTTATTAAAGGCGCAAACCTCTCACTGCACGACAGCTGCACCTTCAGCAGACCTCCTCATTCCTGCAGCACGAGGGCTTTATGATTGTTTATGAGCGCCAAAAGTGGCGGATCTGTTCGGCGAAATATCTGACTGCGTGTCCCCGCATCCCTAAGGACTGTTTGGCGAAATTTTTGACAGCATATCAAACGACTGAAACGATATAACTAGAGAAATCTCCACTGTGCTGCTGAGTGAGTGAGAGAGCGCTTCTCACTGAACAGCACAGCAGCGATGACGTAAGCATGCCGAAGCCCGTTTGTGGTGTGAGCGCGGGCCGTCGGGGGAGACGGGAGGGGGGACAAGCGTGCTTTGGCCCGGTTCAAGGCAACTGTACCTAGTGTGAGTACGGCCTAAGTTAGAGGAGAGTGGGGGGTGTATTGGGGGGCAAAAGAGTCAGTGGGGGGCAGAGTTCAAAAGGGAGACAGCTCTGGGGAAAAAGCTGTTCCTCAGTCTGCTAGGGGAGGCTGAAGCGCCTGCCGGAAGTGAGCAGGGTGAGAGGTGTCCTTCAGAATACTGCGTGCTCGGCGCAGACAGTGTCTCCTCTGGATGTCCCATATGGCTGGCAGTGTGGTCCCTGTGATGCGTTGGGCAGTTTTCACCACCCCCTGCAGAGCCTTATGCTCAGCAACAGAGCAGCTTCCATACCAGACTGTGACGCAGTTGGTCAGGATGCTTTCTATTGTGCAGTGGTAAAAGTTCACCGAGACAGCTGATGAAAGCTGGTTCTTCTTAAGTTGCTTAGGCGCTGGTGAGCCTTCTTGACCAGGCTGGAGGTGTTGGTGGTCCAGGAACGGTCCTTTGAGATGTGGGTCCCCAGGAACTTGAAGGATGAGAATGCGGCCATCCCATTGATGTGGATGGGATCATGTGAGCCTGTTCGACCCTTCCTCAAGTCCACAATGAGCTCCTTGGTCTTGTTGGTTATAGGGAGCAGATTATTGTCAGTGCACCAAGTGGCCAGATGCTGTATCTCCTCCCTGTTGGCGGTCTCATTGTTATTGCTGATTAGACCGATCAATGTGGTGTCATCTGCAAATTTGATGATGGTGTTGGATCTGTTCACAGGCCTACAGTCGATGGTAAAAAAGGGAGTAGAGGAAGGGGCTCAGCACACAGCCCTGTGGTACACCAGTGTTGAGTGTGACGGTGGTGGAGCAGATGTGACCTGATCTAACATTCTGAGGTCTGATAGTCAGAAAGTCGATAAGTATTCAGCTTAATGTGACATTTAATGGCTTGACTAAGTTAATTGGGTTAATTAGGCAAGTTCTGTTTTTGTCTTACCTGATTTCTGGAACTGCTTTTCCCCGGACTCGAACCTGGTTGTCGTGGTCAACTCCTCTCTGCGTCTCAAGTCTGCCGACGTACACGACGAACTAACTGGACAAACTGGTTGTGTCAGGAAAGCCCTCCACACGGAGGTATGCGTTTAGCCAGCAAGCGCGAAAAGAAACGGCGTCATACCGCCCTGTAGCGTTTAGTAAAAAATAAAATGCAGCCATACGTGCCTCCGGCTACATAATTCGCGGTCTCCAGAAACGTCCACGGGACTATGTTTTCAGAATGAGCCTGGGTTCTAATATAAAGTGGGACCCGTACCTTACATTACCTGTAATGCATTGCTCCCAAAACTGCCCATGACACATGTGATTGGAGCTTGAAGTGCTCAGTCATTGTAAGTATTTCAGATGAGCTGAGTGAGGTGTTGCATTGTGCAGTTGTATTTTCAGGTCTTGTTATCGGTTTGACTGTGATTCTACACTCTACAGGTGTTTATCTCGATTATTTTGTCCTGATAAAGATGAACACTGCTGATTACAGACGAGTGTTGTGTGTCTGAAGCATTTTCACAATGATTGAAGGCTGATTTGATGCCACTCAGTTGCTATAGAAACAGAAACATCAACACAGTGTCACTTTACTGTCTGTATCATCATCAGCATCTTCCTCCTAGGAACACAACTCACTTTACTTTCACATTAATGCCTGTTTCAGTTAAAATACATGAGAATTCGGCAGTTTAAAATCATAAATAACATGTTAGATTTTTTTTTATTTAATATATGGATGACATTAACTAGAAATAAACTAGTTAGGGTGGCTCAGTGGTTAGCACTGTGGACTCACAGCAAGAAGGTCGCAGGTTCAAGTCCCAGTTGGCATTTCTGTTTGGAGTGTGCATGTTCTCCCCGTGTTCGCATGGGGTTTATTCTTCATGCTCCAGTTTTCCCCACAGTCCAAACACATGCGCTATTGGGGCGCTAATTGATGAACTAAATTGTCCCTTGTGTATATGAGAGTATATTGGTGTTTTCCATTACTGGGTTGCAGCTGGAAGGGCATCCGCTGCCTAAAACATATGTTGGAATAGTTGGTGGTTCATTCTGCTGTGGCGACCTCTGATGAATAAAGGGACTAAGCTGAAGGAAAATGAATGAATCGAATAAACTAGTTAACTTCATTTAAATCTGTATTTCTAGTAACATTACAATGCAATTTAGTCAGTAACATTAATAACTAATAATAAACAATGTACATGTTAGTTTGTTTTCCTTTTTTAACATTTTTAACATTTTTAATATATATATATATATATATATATATATGAGTGTGTGTGTGTGTGTGTGTGTGTGTGTGTGTATAC